GACCTTGGGCATAGATTTTAAGTTGGGATTTGTGGTGGAGAGGTAAAAAGGAAGTCTGAGTTCTGGGCTGTAAGTTTCAGCTCAGATGTTGACTTCTCTCAGCCCTCAAAGTTCAAGTCCTTATCTCTGATCCAATGTCCTGCTCTCCTTTCCTGGGATATGAGTCCCCATATTTGACCCCATGGTCCCTACCTGTGGTTTACCAGGTCTTCTTCACCTGTCTTTCTACTCCCTTGCCCTAGTTTCAGAAACTTTGACGTAGAAGAATCCCACCAATGCACCACAGATTGGCTCATGCTGGGACCATCATCTCGCCGGGAAGATTACCGGATTTGTGGTTCGGCCATCCCCCCTGCCTTCATCTCAGCCCGAGACCATGTTTGGATTTTTTTTCACTCAGATGCTTCCAGCTCAGGCCAGGCCCAGGGCTTCCGCCTGTCCTACATCAGAGGTAGCGATGGGCTTCCCCAAAGAGAAAAGCATGGCATGTTCAGGGTATTTTGTCCATGGTTAGAGATGTGTGGGAAAAAAGAATTGGTTGAGGTATCCCCTTCCCAACCCTAACCATTCTTACTTGGCCCTCATCAACTTTATGGTTCCTCACCTTCCCCACTATGCCCATTCTAAAATACTGTCTCTGATGGGGAAACTGTGTTTGCCTTTTCTCAGGTCTTCACAGGTTAGGGACAGGTCCCCGACACCCCAAAATCTCTTTAATAACAGTCCCTCAAGGGAAAGTCCCTCTAGCAGTATCACCAGTTCACATGGTGGTGTTCCAGTTAATCTGACACTCACTGCTTCAGCTAATCCTCAGAACAGTTCAGTGAGATAGGTAGTATGATTTTTGTCCCCATTTTACAGATGAGGAAAATGAGTTTCTGAGAAGCTAAATGACTTATGCAAAGTAAACACAGCTAGTAAGTGGCAGAACCCCAACTGATGTTTCCCTCCTTCCTTCCCTTAGGAAAGCTGGGCCAGGCAGCTTGCCAACCAGATGAATTTCTCTGTGGCAATGGCAAATGCCTCCCGGGCCCTTGGCACTGCAATGCCATGGATGAATGTGGGGATGGGTCAGATGAAAAGAACTGCTCAAATTCACCCACAGAGATCCCACGTAGCTTGTGCCCACCTGGCACATTCCCTTGCAGCGGTGCCCGTTCCACACGGTGCCTGCCCACTGAGCGGCGCTGTGATGGGACTCAGGACTGTGGTGACAATTCAGATGAAGCCTACTGCCCTGACCTTTCATGTGGTAGGCGACTGGGCAACTTCTATGGGTCATTTGCCTCGCCTGACCTCTTTGGGGCTGACCGTGGCTCTGATGATCTCCAGTGCACATGGCTCGTGGACACACAGGATGCCCGGCGCGTCCTCTTGCAGCTGGAGCTGCAGCTGGGCTATGATGACTATGTGCAGGTCTATGATGGCCTGGGGGAGCGTGCGGACCGCCTGCTGCAGACCCTCTCTTACCGCAGCAACCACCACCTGGTCAGCGTGGAGGCCTCCGAGGGCCAGCTGACGGTGACTTACCATGCTCGAGCCCATAGTGTCGGTCATGGCTTCAATGCCACCTACCAGGTCAAGGGCTACTGCTTGCCTTGGGAGCAGCCCTGTGGGAGTGATGAGGGCTGCTTTTCCGAGATGCAACGCTGTGATGGCTGGTGGCACTGCCCAGGAGGGAAGGACGAGGAGGGCTGTCCGGCCTGCCAACAGGACGAGTACCCATGTGAGGGGGGCAGTGGGCTGTGCTACGCACCTCCTGACCGCTGCAATAACCAGAAGAATTGTCCTGATGGCTCTGATGAGAAGAATTGCTTCTCCTGCCAGCCAGGGACCTTCCACTGTGGCACCAATCTATGTGTCTTTGAGACATGGCGCTGTGATGGCCAGGAAGATTGCCAAGATGGCAGTGATGAGCGGGACTGCTTGGCAGCAGTGCCCCGAAAGGTCATCACCGCTGCCCTCATTGGCAGCCTGGTCTGTGGGCTCCTTCTGGTCATTGCCCTTGGCTGTGCCTTTAAGCTCTACTCTCTGCGCACACAGGAGTACAGGTGAGCACCTCGAGGGGAGGCCCGGCCCCTTACCCTTCCACTGGAAGTTTCCTTCAGAGGGCAGAGCTCTAGGTCAGGGATTCTGAACTCGGAGTTCCCATGTTACCAAGGAGCAATCAGTAGGTTTCAGGGAGTCCCTGAACTTGAATGGGAACACAATTACATCTTCATTTTCATAACCTCTAACTGAAATTTAGCATTTCATTCAATTAAAAAAAATGTTATTTTAAGAAGGGGTCCATATGCTAATAGGGCAGTCCATCAGACCACCAAAGGGGTCCCTGATGCAAAAAAAAAAAAATTAAGAAGCTTTGCTCTCATCTGATAGCTACTGAATTGTCTTTTGTTTCTTCTGGCTTTCAATTCCATGAAGCACAGTCACATTTGCATGCTATTCACCTCTGCCTGTGTACATCACAGTTAGGCAGGGATGATTGTCAACATTTTATGAATGAGGAAATTGGAGTCTGGAAGAGGGGAAGAAAGCAAGCTGCTGCCAAAGCTGGCCTTTTGCCTGACCACTAGGCGTTGTGATCTGACTGGTGGGACATGTCACCCAGAGAACTCCCAAGTTTGCTTCTGGGCTTTTCCCTCCCTCCTCCCTATCCCTTCACATGCCAGGAGATCTCATTGGGAAACCCTGTTTGATCTCTTCACATATTGGTCTTCCCTCCTTCCTGATAGGTTTGCATTACTGGCATCTCTTCCCATAGTCATTTGGAGATTTTGAGGCAGGATCAGTCTCTGATTAGTTTGTGTTTGGTGTTGTTACTTCTGGAAGGTCCCGTAGGAAGAGAGGTGTGTGTATGTAATGGGAAGGAGAGGAGGGATGGTGTCAGGGTACTACACAGCTGAACCAAATCACCAACTAAACACTAAGGCTGATGGGTGCCATGTAGGTCTAAATGAGAATGGAGCCCAGAGATAGAACAGAGTCCATTGCCCAGGAGTTGGGCCTTGGGGATTTTCTGCATCGATCTTCCTGTGGCCTTCCTATTCCCTTTTGAAGGTTTAGGCCGGGAACTGTGAAATGAATGATATCTGGGATGGTGCTCGGGGATGGAGAGGGTCCTGTATCCCACATGGCCCCAGGGTAGGCCCTGCTCACATATCTGGGACATAGAAGAAAAGGTGCCTATAACAAAGATTCCGTTAATCCTAGGGCCTTTGAGACCCAAATGACTCGTCTAGAAGCTGAATTTGTTCGACGAGAGGCCCCTCCATCCTATGGCCAACTCATTGCCCAGGGCCTCATCCCACCTGTGGAGGACTTTCCTGTGTACAATGCGTCCCAGGTAAAGTGGGTCCCTGGGTCTTATTTTTGGATTCACTTCCCTGATCCATAGGGGCCAGTGGTGATAATGGGGTGTGGGTATGGGGGTGTGTGTGTGTGTGTGTGTGTGTGTGTGTGTGTGTGTGTAGGTGTTATAGAATTTTCCAAAGAGAGTTAATTTCAGACTAATTTAATTAAAAAAAAAAAATAAACACAGGCTATATGGCCCTATTAGGAATGGTAGTAGCACTAATTCAAAATACTATTGGGTGCCAGAAAATAATTGGAGGGGGCAAGTGTGTCTTTAGCCTGTTGGCCCAGAGCAAAAATGGTAAGACATTTAGTCTATTCCCAAGCCCTCCACCCCTATCTGTGATATTGGGGAGTCAAGTTGGCTTTGGGTCTCAGAGTAAAATGGTGGCTAGACCCAAAAGAGACGACAGAGGCATGGACCACCTGGTAATGTGTTCGGGGCCATCCTGAACTTCTCAGATCTTTGAGGAAGTTGGGGAAGTAGTCTAATACCAGGGTGTACAGAGAGAGAGAAGCTGCCATGGTTTCCAGGGTGGAGGGAGGATAGCATGGAGAGGGCTAGTTCCTTGATAATGGTGTTGGGCTTGCGTTGTAGGCATCAGTACTGCAGAACATCAGGACAGCCATGAGACGGCAGATGCGGCGCCATACTTCTCGCCGGAGTGCCTCCCGGCGCCGCCTGGGTCGCATCTGGAACAGATTGTTCCACCGACCCCGGGCGCGAGGGCAGATCCCACTGCTGACTCCATCACGCGCCTCACAGACTGTGCTGGGGGATGGGATCATTCGCCGGGCCGGGGGCACCTCCTCAAGCCCCCCTGCATCCTCTATGGGGCCTCCCCCTGTCCCTCCAGAGACTGTAGGTCAGGTTGTGAGGGAGGGGCCACCAGATGCCTCCAGCTGTGCCCTGGTTACTGAAACAGAACCCTTGGGGTCCCCTGCCCCAGGCACTGCAGCTCCTACTTGTGCAGCACATGGCCTAGAGCCCAGGCACTTGAACAAGGAGCTCAGAGCCACTGGCCAAGCTGAGCCAAGAAAGGCCTTCAGGGACCCCTTGTCAGAAAGTGTTGTTGAGAGGCTCCAAACCCAGGGTGACCCCCATGGCACCAGTCCTCCCCCGCTGAGCGAGGGACCAGGTCGGCTGCCCCTCAGGAAGCGGGAACCAGTCTCCTCGGGCAGCTCCCTGTGTCTACCCCAGACATGCCAAGAGGAGCCCCTAGGTGTCCACGGGCCAACTTCACCCCACTCCTTGATTTCTGATGCCAGTGATGATGAGTTCCTCCTGGTGTGCTGATGTGGACCCTGCTACAGTGGAATGGCAGGAAGTGTCTCAAGTCTGACAGGTTGACCTCATGCTACTTGCAGTGACAGTTTCCAGGGAGAGGTGATTGGACTAAACATGGGTGGATGGGGCCCCTGGTGGGCATATCAGCTGTCACCACCCAGTCTGGGAGAATTCTGCTGCCCTTCACCACCTCTCCCAATCCTCCTTGTCCATGTTTTACAATCAGGGAATACAAGATGATTTTTACCCTTGTTATGGTTTTCTTGCTTTCTTTCTTTTTTGCTATTAGAGGCCTGGGTGGGTAGGTGGGGCTGGGCGTGGTGAAAGGGTCACACAGGGCTTTTCCTGCTAGGATGAGAGTCAGGGGTTCCTGGGAGAGCTCAGTGCTGGATCAGGTGCTCAGGTGCCTGAGTGGCCTTTCCCAGTGTGGGCATGATAATGAATGCTGGGTGTCCCTGCCAGCTCTTTCTGAAAACCCCATTCAACATTTGAGGTGTCCAGAGAAGAAAGTTTTACCAAGCGAGGGACACAGGGCCCAGTTCCAGGACAGTCTGACCCTGGTTTGGAGTATGCCCCAAAGAAACTATGGCTGGGATGGCCTGAGTGAGGATACCTGTATAAGGTATGAGCTTGGGCCTGTATCCCTTCAGAAGATGGAGTAAGACCAATTCCTTTGAGAAGTGGTAGGGGCAGCTTGAGGAGGAAAGGTTAAATATCAGGGTGCTCTACCATAGTCTTTAAATTTGCAGACAGAGAAGCAAGACTGACTTAAGGCTGAGATTAGTCTCACATTGGGCTTCTCTAACTAGACTGGAATGACCAAGGCTTTGATTCAGGGCACCAAATGTAGAGGGACCACACTGAGGTGATGTCTTCTTTTCTTTCTCTACTTCCCCTGGACACGTTTTGTGGTACAGAAATTCCTAGTAACTTCTCTGGTATCAGGTGCTGTTGAACACAGCCAGTGAAATGATCTGTGGGGCTGAGATGGGAATAGGGAGTTCAGGAGGAGGTGTCTTTGTTTCATATGGCCAGACCATTCTTTGCTTCTATATTTTTGTCTCTGTCATAGCTATGGAGATGGTTTTCTGAGCTTTCTTGTCTGTGTAGTCACCGGGCCTCAGACAACATTGCACCTGTGATTACATAAACAATCTTCATGTTCTTGCTGAAGGTAGTTTGCTGTTGTATAGTTATTCCCATTTCTTTCTACTTTCTTCCCTCCTGTCAGAATTTCATAGTCTGAAGTTTTCATTTGCCATAGGCAAGTCCCCTTAAGTTGATAAGGCAACTGCTGAGCAAGCTTGACTATCTGTTCTCCAGCACACCCAACCTGTGTACACATGGTCAGTGAAGGCTCAGGAGATAGATCATCAAGTATTATTGGGAAGGAAAGTCTGGGAGTGGGGACAGAGATTCAGAAAAGCTCCATGGTTCTTGCCAATACTGTGCCCCTCCTCAAGGCTGGCTGGGTCCCAGAAGCCCCAGACCTCACCATCTTTTCCCTCCTTTAGAGTGCTCACACAATGGGATAAAGCCAAGTTCAAGGGAGACCCATCAACGTTGACTGCTGTAGCTCCTGAGGCCTCAGGACTGAAACTGCCCTCCTGCTGATAGAGCCATGACAAGGGGAAGGGAAACCCCTGTGACTAGATCTTGTGTGGCAGAAATGACTTTCATCAGAGTGATAAGAAGGCGCCCCAAAATTCTGATGTATGCTATAGTAGTTCTGGATCCCTGCTGCCAAGGCTAACAGCCCCAGAGCACAGAAGGCCCCTTGGATCAGCTGTCATCCAGATGAACAGCTATGGCACTGATCCCAAGCCTTGATTCCACTTGGCCCAGCACTTGGGCCTAATACTTTCATCTGGTCCTGGTCGCTACTTTTCAGTGCACAAAATTCAGTTCCAGCTGTCTTTCTTGGTCACACCTTTATAGAGGAACCATTGCCAATGGCAGAAAGATGGGACAGCACCCCCCCCCTTTTCAAGTTGATGCCATTACTATTTCTGTCTCTTAGAGAAGGCTGCTTTGTTAATCCCAGCCCCACCCATGGCAGATGACAAATGCTGGAGAATCATCTCAATCCTGCCTCCAGTCCTTTCTGTTAAGATCCTTGTTGTCTCGATCTTCTTTGCTCTTCCTGGCATGAATTGTTTCTTGTACCAAGCAAGTGTGACCAAAGGTCAGAAGTGAGTGAAGGACAAGGACATTCCATTTTTCTTGAAAAGGTGTATGAGAAAGGAATGGGGTCCCCATATTCAGACTACAGGATCCTCTCAGGTATGAATGACTGTTGATTCCTTCATTCTCAAGATTAAGCTACTGAAATACTAATTTCTTTGCATAAAGGTAGCCTCCCTCAAACTTGCTTATTGACCATATGCCCTCAGCTATTGCCATCCAGGGCATGGACCATGAGCCATGAGCAATGACTACATTATATGGAATTACAAATCCAGCACATGTGATCATGTCAGTTCTATTCCTTTTTTTGTCCTCTCTGATATGTGAAGCTCTCAGGCAGAGATGTGAGGATGGGCCTACATTCCCAGTTTGACTGGCCCATCAGGACTTGAGCTAGCCCACCTATACATTGTGCTTCCAAATCAACCTCACTGACGGACTGAACCGTGTCAGAATTAACCAATCGGATCCTTGTTTTATTTATAGACTTCTTGCTGTCTGTATAGCTAAGGTGGACTGATCTGGGGTGAGGGCTGTTGTTTGTGGGGCTTTGCTATTAAAAGTGTCTAAGAAACATATCTTTTTTTCCTTAAGAAAACTTTTTCAAAAACAAAAACATAACACGTAAACAAAAAAAAATCTACTTGAGTCTTGATAAGCATCTCATTGTGTCTTCAAAGCCTTTTCACTTCCCGAGGGGGTGGGGTGAGGGCAGGGACCATTTTCCTCTTCAGGAGCATCACTCTGAGGGTATACCACGAAGCACAACTTCTGGCCCCACCATGTAAAGGACTCTAAGGGCAGACAGAAGCCATTTAGGCAAGGGCTATGACCAGCCACTCTGCTGTGCAAGTCACTTTATGGTTTGCACGTAACTGAAAAGTAATCCAGCCAGGATTCCCAGAAGAAACCTGTCCAGTTCTAGCTACCCCTCAATAACACAACCCCAAAGCTACTTCTTAAATCTGTCCCTTGGAAAACAACCCCCATCCCCATACCTGCTGGTCTCTGAGGTCACAGATTCACAGACTGTCAGAGCTGGGAGGGACCTTAAAGGGCATCTCATTCAACCCCCTCACTTTACAGGTGGTGAAGAAGGCCCAGAGAAGGGAAGGGACTTGCTGAAAGTCACATAGGAAGTTAGTGGCAGGGCCAGAACTGGAATCCAGTTCTCCTGACTCATGACTTAGTGCTTTTCCTACTGCCTCACAGTACAGTATTATCTGGTTATACTAGCAGCTCGTCAGGTCTTGCCTTCCTTCCTTCCTTCTTTCCTCCCTCCCTACTTCCCGTCCTTCCTTTTTTCCTTCCTCCCTTCCTTCCTCTCTCCCTATTTCCCTTCCTTTCTTCCTCTCTCCCTAATTTCCTCCTTTCCTCCCTTTCTTCTTTCCTCCCTTTCTTCTTTCCTTCCTTCCTGTTCCTCTCTCTCTTTCTCTCTTTTTTCTTGGTGACTGGGGAAAGGGAATGTGATTGGAAGGTTACGATGTTGAAACAGTCCTCTAGTCAGCATGATGGGTAGCCTAGAGCTCAAGGGCCCAGAAATGTACTTTGAAGATAAACTTTCCAGGGCCTGGAGAACTCTTCTCTCCTGTGGACTTTCACTTAGCCTTTAATTAGGTGCTTTGGCTTTTCCTGGCCAATCAAAGCTCTGTTCCCTTCCCCTGCAGGGCAGTAAATAGCTTAGTAGTGTGGTACAGTGTAAAGAGGGCCAGTTCTGGAGTGAGAGGACCTGGGTTCAGATTTTGCTTCTGACAGCTTACTACCTGTGTGACATTGGGCAAGTCACTTAACCTCCCTGGGCCTCAGTTTCCTCATTTGTAAAATGAGGAAGTTGGAGCAGATGACCTCTGAGCTCCCCTCCAGCTCTCACTATAAGCCCCTATGATCCTAACCCCGCTACCAGTCACCACTCACCCCATCCCCTCACTCACCAATGAGCCTGTGCACACACTTTGGTTTGTTTCTCCAGGACACACCCAGGAAGAACACAGGGACGCCTGTGAGAATGATGATGAGGCCAATGCCACAGACTACAGGCTCTGAGTAAAAACTGAAGATCAGCAGAAATGCCCAAAAGGTCAAGTATGTGATTGGGATGAGAAGATTTACCTGGAGAAAGAGAAAGAGAGAGAGAGCAACCGGGACCGAGAGGGCCAGATTCTCTCAGTAGTTGGAGGCCTAGTCAACGAGCATTTATTAAATGCCACTATGTTCTATGCAATGTGCCAAACACCGCAGACAGAAATGAGACGGGGACAACCCTATTCTCTGCCCAACAACCTTCTATGATCCCTTGTCCTTCCTGCTTTCATCTTCCCTTTCCCAACAATGACTAGGGAAGGGGCTTGATTTTTGGAGTGAATCATTGAAAAAGCATCTCTTAAGAGCTCTGTGCCAACCTCTGTACTAAATATTGGGAATACAAAGAGAAAAGTGAGAACAGAGTCCACTTTCAAGGAGCTCATGCTCTAGTTATGGGGACAACATATATATGAAATTTCAGCAGCAGGGCACACTGAAAGACGTGAAATGCCAAAGAGTCTCGGGGGGATGATGAGGAGAGAACTTAGTGGCATTGAGGTGCAAGTCTGTGGCAGCTGGGTGACACAGTGGTTACAGCACAGGGCCGGCAGTCAGAAAGACCTGAGATCAAGTCTGACCTCAGACACATACTAGCTGGCCAAATCACTTCACCTCTGTTTGCTTCAGTTTCCTCATCTGTAAAATGGGGATGATGATAATAATAACACCTACCTCCCTGGGTTGTTGTGAGGACCAAATGAAGTAATAATTGCAAAGCACTTAGCGCAGCAACTGGCATATGGTAAGCGCTATGTAAGTGTTAGCTGTTATTATTTAGTTGGGTCATTGAGCAAGGTCACACATAGGTGAAAAATAAGAGACAACTTTGATGTAATGAAGTTTTTTGTGTGTGTTTGTTTCCAAACTGGCTCCGAAGGTGCTTTCCAGAAAAGTGGAGAGCAGTAGCAATGTTGCTGGAGTAAATGGTCCCCAACGAGACTCTTGTGAAGGGACAATATTCCTTTGGATGCACAAATTCCAGTGTGTTCCTTAGGCAGAATAATGCATCATTCTGCTGTGTGCTCTGCTCATCCCTGGCTGATGATGAGGCCGCTAGGTGGCGAAATGTGTAAAGAGAGACTCAGAAAGAATAAGAAAGATTCAAGTTCAAATAATACTTCAGACACTTATTAGCTGTGTGACCCTGGACAAATCAGTTAGCTTCTTTTAGTCTCAGTTTTCTCATCTGTAAAATAGGGATGAAAAGAATACCTAGCTAACAAGGTTATTGTGAGAATCTAATGATAATAATAATAATGATAATAGTAACAATAATAGCCAATATTTATATAGCGCTTTGTTTGCAAAGCGCTATATAAATATTATTTTATCCTCACAACAACCTTGCTATTATTATCATCCCCATCTTACAGATGAGGAAGCCGAAGCAATGAAAGATTAAGGGACTTGTTTATAATTTCCAGCTCTCTATTCGATGCGCCACCTAGCGGTCAAATGAGATAACACATGTTATGTTTGCAAACCTTAAGGCACTCCACAAATGCTAGTTATTATTGTTGTTGTGAGGGACTGTGAGGAAGCTCCTATCACATCCGGTCCCTGGGTGAGGATGAAGGATGCTCACCTTGATGGGTCTGAAGAGCTTGGGTCTCTTCCATCGAAGCACAATCAAGCCAATGATGGTCACTCCATAACAGAGGTAGTTGATGAAGGACACATAATTAATTAATGTATATGTGTCTCCCACAAGCATGATCACTGCTGTGGCCCCAAACTGGAAGTGAAGGGGAATTAACTGTTAGTGCATCTGAATGCCTAGAGATGAAGAGCTCTGGCTGTCTTTAGTACCCTTATACCTGCATGGACCCATTTAGGACTCAGTGATGCCTTCACTACTGCTACTTAAGCCTCAGGTTCAGTCCTTGTTAAGCTAGACTGAAGGAAAAAGAGGGTTAATGCAGCTTGGTAATTTTATCATAAAATTGGGTTCTTCCTGGGATGCCCCTGGCCAGTGTAAAGATGGGATAAAGATGTTTGAGAAAGATGCAAATCTTGAGGGTGGGGGATCTGAGGAAGATCCTGGGACAGATGAGGGCTCTGTGTTGGAGGGAGGACTAAGTAAGGCCCAGGGACTTCGGGGGATGAGAGCAAGTTGACCCTGGTGAAAGGAGGGAGAGGATAAAAGGAAGGCAGGGTGGGAGCTGACAACCTTCATAATTTCTCTCAGGGTGGGTGAGCAAGGCATGGTCATCCCTCTCTATTGTGGTTGGATGTCTGTGTCCTAGCTGGGAGAGATGGGGAGCAGGTGATGGCACTTCTCACAATGTGAATGAGAACCCTTTCCCTGCCTGGCTCATAGCTCACGGGTTGCTTTGGGGATCACAAAGGAATAGTGGAGAGTGTTCAGAGAAGCCTAAAAGGTACAATGGGTGCAAGAGATGGTTAACGCCAGGATGTAGGTGGGAGAATGGAGTGGGGGAAGGAAGTGGAGTGAGGTTACATGTACCCATTAGGTCTGGCTCTGTAGCACTTCCGGGAAAGTTTTCTGGGAATCTTCCTATCTCAGTCCCTCATCTGATCAGAGTGGGAGTGAGTCCAGAAAAGTCATTCATTTACCCAGTCCTGCATGCAGTGCTTCATGGGAATCTGAGTGAAGTGTAGCTTTTTGTTTTTGTTTATTTCTGAAGTCTGACTTAACTCTCTTATTCCTGCAACCTTTACTTTGCATGTGTATTTTAAACAAAAGTCCTTTTTCTCATAGCCGCCCTTACAGGAACCTCCACACTACAGTACCCCATTACAAACTGCTATAGTTGCCCCTTAGTCAGGGACATTACCTCTTCCACTGATGCCTCATCTCATGTGATGAGCCCAAACTAAGCTTAGGAGGCTGTGTGTGTGTGTGTGTGTGTGTGTGTGTGTGTGTGTGGTGTGTTCTCACAGATGGCTTTAAGTTCCAGTTCCAGACTCATCCCAGCTCAGCTTTGAGATGGAGGCCACTTGGATTGGTGACATTGTTAGGGGATCAGTGTAGGATGAGGGGAGTTCATGGGGACATATTTTCTCTTGCCTCTGAAAGGTTGGCACCAACCCAAAGAACTACCTTAGAGTCTTACCAAAAAAAGAAGCCTAAAAGTGACCCCCTCACAGTGACTGTGTAGACAGATTGTCTACTTCAGCCAGTCTATGTGTCATAGCCAGATGTTTACTAGCAAAGTAAGCTGAGGCTAATTTTTCAGATGATTCAAGCAAGTTGATTTTCTTTGCTCATGAAGTTCTACTGGCCCTGGCTTTGTGGTTAAGAGTATATAGGAAGTCAGCAAGGCCCCGTTGAGCCCTAGAATCTCCCAGAGCAGGTGTTCAGGTACAATCAGGGATAGCTAGACTTACACACACGAGAAGCGCAGGGATGGGGGTGCGGTGTTGGACATGGATCATGGCCAGCAGGCTGGGAAGGTGGCCTTCACGGGCTCCAGAAAAGCATAATCTGGAAAGAAGAAATACCAGTTTGGGGCCTGGAAAAGCTATACATTGGATACATCAGACAATACGGATAGCAGTAGTACAGAACATAGAACTGAACCCTAGGTTTCTCATCCCTTCCTGGTGCCTTATTGATTGGGTGTCTAAGACACTGGCTTAGTTAGCCTGTGACCAGTGGTTAGGTGATCCCTTCAACACCCCCAATCTCCCACTTTTTTCTGTATCACTGAGGGAAACTCTTCTCCTGTATCTTCTGACCTGCCCCTTAGTTAGGGTTCAATAGCCCAAGTGGCCATGAAATTCTTCCTTTTCTCCACCCTGATTTCCTCTTGCTTTGTTTTGAGTGGAATTGGGAATTGTCCCTGGGAGGTTCAATATTAATGTTAAAGGACTCATCCCAACTCTCTTTCATCTCCATTGGAGGTATTTTGCCCTTCTCAGTCCCCCTGGCCATCACCCTTTCTTGATAGATCTAGGTTGCTCACCTGGAGGAGGTGAAAAGATATCCATTGATCCCTCCAAAGGTGGAGAGTGCGACGGAGACAGGCATGATCCAAGAGAAGTAGCCCAGTAGCTTCTCTCCAAACGTCTACAGCAATGGAAGACAGAGGGAGTGAGAAGGCGAGCCTGGCTGGGATGCTAGGGTAAGGGGGGAGCAGCACAGTGGGCCTTGGGTTAGGGTAGGCCGTGGCACTTACCACAGCAACAGCATTGGAAGACAAGAGCTCCTGTGGGGACATAGCTGTGAAGTATGCCACATTGGTGAACGTGTACACGAATGTCACCAGGGGGATGGAGATGAAGATGGCTCGAGGTAGGTTCCTATTGAGAAAACAATAGGGATGCATCAGTATTGGTACTTGGAAGAGGGAAAGAACAGAGCCATGGAGGGGAAAGGCACAGCTGTGGGGACAGCTGAGGTGCTGTCTCCTGGCTACTGGCACGCCATCCAGGCTGCTTTGGATTATCTATGGTCCCTTACAACATATGTATGTTGGGGAATAGAATGGGGTAGAAGAAAACAAGAAGGGTAGAGGTCAGAGCTAAGAACAATGGGTATAAATTTAAGCAGTAAGTGCTGCACTGGCTAGAGTGCCAGAGTCAGGAAGACCTGAATTAAAATCCTGCCTCATACATTCACTCGATATGGGACCCTGGGCAAGTCATTTAACCTGTTTACCTCAGTTTCCTCATCTGTAAAATAACAGCACCTAAATCCCAGGATAGTTGTAGAAATTAAATGAGCTAATAAATGAATAGAATTTTGCATACTTTGAAGTGCTAAAGAAGTACTAGCTATTATTATTGTCATTATTTAGGCTAGAAGGTGAGTAAAAGCTTCCTAATGATCACAGCTATTGGGAAGTGAAAATAGACTGCTTTTGAAGGCAGAGGATTCTTTCTCACTTGAGACCTTAAAACCAAAGGTAGCTAGATGGTCACTTATTGGGTATATTTAGAAGGGATTCCTAGTCAGGCATGAGTTGCACCAGATGGCCTCGGGAAAACTGGTGGCATTGGAATCCAGGAAAATCACTCAACTCCCATCTCAGCAACAGTGAGTTCTGAGCCAAGCCAGGGACATCTATTAGGATGAGATGGCTTACAAGGAGCAACAGACCTGGTTTGTTTTTCCTTCCCTCCCCTGGAGTAGTAGAGGCCTGGAGGCCTGAATAATTCATATTCTGGATCTTCAGACGCCAGATAATGGAGAGCTGATCATGTCCTCCACTTGGTAGCCTATGGGTAAACCCTCTGGTACTGAGAGGTTCAGGACTCAAGGTGGCTGCTGAGTAAGAGAGATTGGTTCTGGCCCCATCTTCCTCTTTTCTGGCTAGTTAATATCAGGTTCTACCTTCATTTCCTTTTTGGGTGACAATGCAACTGTCTGGGTTTTTGTTTGTTTATTTTTGCAACTGGCTTCTCCCCACTTTCCATACAGTAAGAGCCAACATCATGCCTCCTCCTGCCTCAGCTGATTAACAAAGAATCAGAATTCCCCATATCTGGAGCCACATGGGGCTGGGAAGGTTGCTCTGGGGTCTCACAGCTGCATGGGGCTTTATACTTTCCAAGGCATCTTAAACTGTGATCTGATTTGAGCTTCCCAATAACTTTGGCTCTGCCCCTAACTCGCTGTGTGATTCCAAGCAAATATTTAACCTCTCTTGGCCTTAGTTCCAACAACTGAAGAGTAAAGGGTTGGATGAGATGGTTTATAAGGTCCAGTCCCACTCTAATGTTCTTTGATTCTAAACCCTGTGAGATAGTCAGGGCAGAGATTCACATAATCAGAGAATCCCAGAACTGAGAGGGGCCTTTGAGGTTGTCTAATCCCATCTGCAGCTCAATGCCAGAATCCAGGCTCTGTACACTTATTTTTTTTTTTAAATACAGGGAAAATTGCTACTTCGTAAGACAAGTTATTCCACTGTTGGACAACTTCTTTCTTTTCTTTTTTATACCATGCTAAAATGAACCTCTCTCTGACTTCCATTCATTAATTCTAGTTCTGCCTCCCTGGGGCTGAGCAGAAAAAATATCATCATTCTTCTACTTGGTAGCCCTTTAACTAGGTGAAGGTAGCTCTCATCTGCCCCCCAAGTCTTATCTGCTCTAGGTTAAACATCCATCTGGTCCTTATATTATCTCCATTTTACAGATGAGGAAACTAAGCCTAGAAGTTAAATGACTTGCCCCAAACCACCCAGCAATACAATTAGTACTAGTTGTTTATTTTAGAGGTAAGAGGCAAGAATACAGGTTTTTTCAACTCCTAGGCCCAGATTCTTCTTACTAGCATTCCGGAGGTTCTGGTACATCTACCCAAAGGCCACAGACCGTTCAGTCTGGTCTTTAAGGGGTGGTCATTCCCTCTTAGAGAAGCGGGTTCTGCCTCTTGTAAACCTCTCAGATGAAAAACTCCTTGAGAGCAGGGCTCTTTTTTGCCCTGCAAGGCTCTCTATACACAGAGAGAATGTTTGCTTCAGGCTTCTTTTCCTACTTAAAGAAAAAGAATGATAGTAATAGTTGACATAATTTATATACAGGTTGTCCCAGAAGTCTTAGTGCAGCTCTAAGCTTTTTAAAGTAGTTTTTACAGCTTGAAGTTGCACTAAGACTTTTGGGACACCCTGTATATTTCCTCATTTGATCCTCACAATTATTCTTTACGGTGAATAATTCTATAGAAATCATTATCCCCATTTTTCTCTCTGTTTTTTCTTTCTTTTTTTTCTTTTTGGTGAGGCAATTGGGGTTAAGTAACTTGCCCAGGGTCACACAGCTAGTAAGTGTCATGTGTCTGAGACCGGATTTGAACTCATGTCCTCCTGACTCCAGGGCTGGAGCTCTATCCACTGCACCACTTAGCTGCCCCATTATCCCCATTTTTCAAGTGAAGAAACAGAGGCTTTATAAGAGTTAAATCACAAGTGTGATTGTCCATGATCACGCAGCTAGTAAGTGCTGACTTTGAGATTTAGACTCTGGTCTCTTGACTCCAAGACTCTTGACCAAAGACTTCTTTTTGCTAGTTGGGGTAGAGTCCTCAAAAATACAGCCTGTTGCCCTTGGAAAAGTAGCTGTTGAAAACCTACCCTCATCCAATTGGGCCACTCTTTGACTTCTTTTGCCAGGACCTGTCTCCCTGTCCCATTCCCCCATCCTGGGAAACATTTCACATTTTGCATCATTCCTCCATCAAGGTTGTAGGGAGAATTGGGCCTTGTGTCCCAGAGTCTTAGACCTCATCAGCCCCCAGATTCTTGCTGATGCTCACTCACTTGCGGGGATCAACCAGTTCTTCTGTAACATAGTTGAGGAAATTCCAGCCACTGAATGCAAAGGATGCCTGCAGGAAAGCAAGTGCCAGGTGCCCCACGGTAGGTGTCATCCAGAAGCTAAATGCGTTGGTGGGCCTCAGCTCCTCATAGTTGCCTGTGGAGGCCAGATGGAGTATTGGGGGAAATAGGCTGATGGAGGTCTCCAACCCCAAGGACCCATTCCTGGCAAAGCAGCCTCCTTTGGGGCCCAGGGGCCAGACCTGCCCTCACCAGCCCACCCATTCCTCTGTCAGTACCCCAGAAGATCTGGATGAAGCCAACGGTGATGATGAGGGCAAGTGCCAGCAACTTCCCTCCTGTGAAGATGTCTTGGATCCGTGTGGCCCACCGGACGCTGGAGCCATTCACAAACGTGAGGAGCACTGGGGAGAAGGAAGGGTGGGGGTCAGTGGAACAGAGCATGAGGACCAACGGCTGCAGACTCAGGGGACAAACTTCCTCCCTAGATCCCAGATTATCTATGCTAATGAGCACTGGGCACATCTGGATAAACTCAAACAACAAAATCCACTCCTGAAAAAGTGAGCAAAAGGAATTTTATTTTAATGGCGAGGGGTGAGGGTTGGGATGGATTTAAGAAATCTTGTCCCTATAATAGGCTGGGCAAGGTGATAGGCAGGTTGTTTTTTAGGTCAGTTGATGGGGACATGGATGATCAAGTTGTGTTTTATGAGGAGTGGAATAAAAAGAAGGGGGTCTTGAGCCTATCAGCCATTTGTTGTATTCTATGAATATTCCCAGTTTCATGGGGAAGTCTGAAAGACAGGGCAAAGTGAGTGTCTGGAAGCAGGGCCCCCAAATTCGGAAAGGGGACAGCTTATGTGCAGTCAAACCTCCATCAGAATTTAACCCTCTCTCATAAGCCCCTCTCACCATGTTCATGCTATCACAGGCAAGCTCCCCTACCACCTCCCCAAAACGTTTAAATGCCTTCTTTGTTCCCAGAGGTGAGAGATAGAGAGAGAAGGGAATGGGGCAGTGTGGTGTAATGGATACAAAGGAGGTAGAGAGTGAAGAGAATGAAAGCCCCATCATTTACTGCTTCTGACAGAAATTTCCTTTTTTCCCACCCATGACACTTCAACCCTTTGTAGCGGGGGGAGGGGACAGAACACCCTCACCCAGCTTCTCCCCAACCTTGTGTCCCAGAGGCAGACACAGCTCTGGGAGACTTTCTGTAGATTGGGAAACAAGGAGGGAAAAGACAGGGATAAAATGACATACATAGGGAGTTCCACCATCTGGGAACATTTCTTGGACACAGTTCTCCTTATGGAAAAGGCATAGGACTATGACTGGAGCTCCGTTGGATCTTTGTCATCCCACCTAACCCAGAACCATCCTTCTTTTAGTCTCAGAGATGGGTCTTCCTCCCTGGGATAAGGAAGACTCTGATACCTAACCCACTCCTCTGGGAAGGGGACAGAGGAGTGGTAGGAGGAACTGAGTCAGATAGGGACTTAACAAGGTAGAAATTTGGAGAATCATTTCCATTTCAGAGTGAATGCCAGGTGTCTTTCTCAATATTAATATTTTCCCATTTTCCTCTTATTTGAGGTACAAAGTTGAAAAAGAATATAGAGAATTTGACATATGAAAAAGGAAGGGGAAAGGGGAAGGAACTGGGCACAAGACCCACCTTATTGGAGGGGTACACAGAGGTGCGCACGTGTGTATGTGTGTGTGTGTGTGTGTGTGTGTGTGTGTGTGTGTGTATGTGTATGGTGAGAGATCCCTGAAGCCTTTCCCAACAAACCATGAAGTGGGTTCCCCAGGCATTATGAGGGGCGAGGAGGAGGGAAAGGAGACCTAAGATGGGTGGCACCTACATAGGCAGGCCATGGAGAGAACTCTGGACGCTGTGTAGGGCGGCATGCAGTTGGGAAACACAGACTGGAGGACATAGTTGGAGAAGGTCAATGAGATGACGGCCAGGCTGGTGGGGTACATGATGAGCACTGCACTCCAAAGCAGCAGGAAGCTGGAATTAGAGGAAAGAGAGGGTTGAGGGTCATCTGCTTGGAGAGCAGGGACTGCTGGGAGCAAGAAGCCCTAGATCTAGGGGCCAGGGCCAAGCCAAGAGTCTAAAGCCCACAGTCCAGCCTCGACCCTGGAACCCAGCACCCAGAGCCTAGAGGCCAGGCTTGTGTTTTTGGAGAGACCACAAGATCATAAATTTAGAGTTTGAAGATACCTTCAAGGTCATCATCTCAACCCTTTCATTTTACAAAAATGAGGAAACTGGAACCTAGAGTGAATAGTTAGATGACTTCCGTAGGGCTGTGAAGCCAACCATTTACTAGTCTGAGACAGGTTTCCGACTCCAAATCCAGTACTTTGATTATAATCGGGCTGTCTTTGATCAGGCCCTGGTCCAGGCTATTTGATAAGGCTGGTTGAGCTCCCATTTTCATTCATTGCCTTTGACTCGAGACCTGGCCCAGATCTCTTACAGTCACTTTCTTCCCGCTGGGGAAGAGCTTATTTCTATGTCTACCTCTAACTGTAGGACCCTGGAAAAGTTGCTTAACCTCTCTGTGTTTCACTTTCCATATCTGTAGAATACATTGCAGCCCTCCTAGGGCTAGGAGGATTTTGAGTGAGGTGATAACCCTCTCCCCCCAGGCTCCTATAGTCTGTTTGTCTTCTCAAAAATAAGATAATGCTGATCAGTAGTTTTTTCTTCATAGAGTAGAAATATATCTAAAAATAAATTAACAATTATTTATTATAACAAAGAATTTTGTGACTGAATGGGTTCTACCACTTTGGATTTCATTTCATGGATTTACCGTATAGAACTATCAGGGAAAGGCTTTCTATTTTCTGCTGTACATTGTGATTATTTGATGATATGATTGTGTGATTTTGTGGCACACTCCCCCCTTGTTGCCAATTCTACTACAAAGCTTCTGTAACTCATTTGTCACATCTCTCTTTTTAGTGAACTTACTGGGTGGGCTGAATTGCTTTGGAAGATTCAGAGGATTGTAAGGAATTAATTCTATATTTTTCTAAGAAGTATTTCTAATGTACTGGCGATGCTAAATGGAACATCAAAGCCTTTCCTTTTTCTTGAGATGAGGGGGAAAGCCTTGGCTTAGGTTAATCAGTGATTTTGTTTATGATTAATTAAGATACACTATTTTAAAGAGATTTTTTAGCTTATTTTTTTTATTTTTCAAGTATCAAGTATTTTTAAAAATTATTCTATCCCTATCACTTGGAGCAAATTAAAAAACAAACAAACAACTCCAAACCAAATCCCTTGATACATCTTTACACAGTTCAGCAAAACAAATTCCCACATTAGTATGTCTCTTTCTGCATTTTAAGTTCATCACCTGTCTGTCAGAAGGTGAGTGGCAGGTTTCAACATTCTCTGTGGACTTTTGGTTTATCACTGTGTTGATTAGAGTTCTAAAATCTTTCAAAGTTGTTTTTCTCTATAATGTTGTTAGCTTTGTATAGATTGTTCTCCTAGTTTTGCCCATTTTGCTCTGAATCAGTTCATAACTCTTCCTAGTGTCCTCTGGAAGGGTTTATCTCACAATTTCTCATGGCACAATGACATTCCATTACATTCATATACCATAATATATTTAGCCATTTCCCAAAAGGAAAACGTTTCCTTAGTTTCTAATTTTTGCTTCCCATGAAAATAGCAACTATAAATATTTTTGTACATATAAATAATCTTCTTCAATCTCTTTGGGATATAGGTTTAGTAGTGGTATAGCTGGGTCAAAGGGTATGCACAGGATGGTAACTTTCTAGTCATGGTGAGTGAAGGGATAACTTTAAAAGAGCTTTGGAAAATGTAAGGTCTTGTGATACAGTCATCGATTCAAAAGGGGTTGAGGTTTCACAGTGAATCCTTAAAGCATAAACAGTTTAGGTTTTAGAGACCATGAAACCACAACCCTTATTTCACAGATGAGGAGACTGAGGGTTCCAGGGGGCCCTAAATCACACAGCAAGTTAATCCCATCCTAGGGAGGAGACTTGTTCATTCTATCCCAGTACTATGCTTCAGTTCTGGTAGCTGCCTCCACATAATTAGTGGTAGCTAATGAGGGTAGTGTGGGCACAACAGTTAGCCTTTATTCAGGTATTGAGATCATTCCAAAGAAGGCAAGATAGACCATTCAGTATTTGCACATGCTCTTTACACAGTGTGACATAGTGGAAAAGGAAAAGAGCTGGAATATTGTAAGGATGTTGCACTGTAAAAGACTTAGCTACTCTGATTAAGACAATGATCCAAGACAGTTCCAAAGGACCCATGATGAAAAAGGCTATCCACCTCCAGAGAGAGAACTGATGAACTCTGACTGCAGGTTAAAGCATACTTTTTTATTTTTCTTGATTTTCTTGTGTGTTTTCTTTTGTAATATAGCTAATATGAAAATGTTTTCCATGACTTCACATGTATAATCACTATATTGCTTGCCTTCTCAAGGGCTAGGGGAGGGGTGAGAGAGAATTTGGAACTCAAAATTCTAAAAAATGAATGTTAAAATTTTTTTACATGTAATTTGGAAATATTTAATGAAATAAATAAAAATACATTAAAAAGAAAAAAGAAAGAGCTGGACTAAAGCTAGGATAACCTGGGTTCAGGTCTGGACTCTGACACATTTTGGCAGACCCTGGGTAAGTAATTTTGTTTCTCAGTGCTTTAGGTAACTCTCTAAGGCTATCGGTTGAAAGGAAGGCTCTGACCTACATTGATCATGGAAGTTTACTTACCTGGGGATTTCCCTTAACAGTCCCCAAGCCCTGTCCCTCCCCTCCCCACCCCACCCCACCCTCATATTACATATTAAAAAAGCAATGATAATGGTAAAACAAGGTTATCATTTACATACAAAGGTAATAGTTTATTTGGGTATAAATCTGTTACCTTCATGGGCTATTATTAGATCCTGAAATTGTCCAGTTAAGGTAAGACAACATAAAATTTTGAAACTTTTGAGAACATGTTGGGTGTTTTGTCTTTAACAGTTATCAGCCTTCCCTGAGTGCCTGTGTAAAGGGAAGAATCCTTTTGAAATGAGAATCAGACACTTGTTCTAATTCATCCAGATTTTTATATCCTGGATTTGCTTCAAGTGAAGTATTTCTGCTTACCCCTCCCTCCACACAAAAGAGAAGAAAACTCACCCTCCCACCTTGGACACAGAAAAGCTCCCTTATTTACAAAAGAGGCAGATGAGACATAGTGAGGACAAGTGAATGACTGTTGTTTGTCCATTACGTTCTGGGGTTTGTAAGCAAACATGTGCATGCATAGGTTTGGATATGTACAAGCACGACATCCAACCAGTACCTGTCCCAGAATTCACTCCTCAGTACTCACCCTGCAAGGCCTCCGAAGATTTCGGTCACATAGGAGTAGTCACCTCCAGATTTAGGAATGGCCACTCCGAGCTCAGCATAACAGAGGGAGCCGAGGGCTGCAATTCCTCCACCTAGTACCCAGACCACAAGGGCGAGGCCTACTGAACCTGTATGCTCCAGCACACCTTTGGGGGAGATGAATATCCCAGAGCCAATGATGTTACCTGTACAGGGGAAAGGGAGGAAGAAAGATAGGGCAGGAATTCAAGGATCCCCATGTTCTCATGATTCCCCCAAAATCAAGCTTAGAGACTCATGTTGCAGTTATGGAAAAGGCAGCACCACAGATAATCCCAAATGGCAAATGATACCCAAACCTTCCTCTTCGGCTTTAGAATGTGCAGGGTTTATTAGACTCAAATACTGAGCTTTCCTGAGCACACCAAGGCCCTGCCAGCTGGGCCATCAGGGGAGCTGGAGTCCAGCCCAGCTGAGAAGGATTGAGGATTCCCTGTGGCTAATCCTCATGGAACCCCTGGGACATGAGTACAATTGCTAGGCCATGTGCAACATCACGGAGGCAGTGGGGTCTGGGAGAAACAGCACTGCCTGAGAGTCAGGAGACTTGGATTCTGGTCCTAGCTTTATCACGGACCCATTGGGCAGCCCAGGGAAAATTATTTCCTCTCACTTAGCCTTATAGTTGGAAGAACTAAGGACTATAACTATAACTATAACTATCATAGGGTGACTAACACTGCATTTCAGGGCACCAGGATTCAGGGGAACCATACTTCTTCCCCTGCAGCAAATGCCATTCCTACACCTTGTCTTATTATCTTTGGCTAGCTCCATCTACCAAAAGGCACAAGCATCACCAGACTACTACCCCCAGACTCCCATTGCCATGGCATACCTTTCCTGTTCCCTCTACCCTTCTTCAAGATGTAAGCGCAGGACTCTTAGACTGGCTACTTTTTCTTCCAGGGTGACTACACCCCCATTCAGACTGTCTTCTGCACCATACCCCCTAGGCTGAATTTGCACCTGGCATAAGAATTCCTAATTATGACTCTGCCACAGAACCTTTTTTGTGAGTTGGGCTGCATCTTAGGTCCTTGGGTCAGTTTGTGATTTCATTTGTGTGGCCTTCCCTGTCCACCTATTGTGAGGATCAAATGGGATTATTAGATTTGGAACTGGAAGGGCAAGGATCATATGGCTTATTGGCCTTAGAGCTGGAAAAGACCTGTCTAATTCTTCTTTTTATGGAGGGGGAAACTTAGATAGAGAGAGGGAAATTGAATTGGGTAAGAAAACCAGCAGAATGGAAATTTGAATCCAAGTCCTCTACTTTCAAGTCAAGGGACTGTTCAAGTCCACCATGCTGTTTCTCAGTAATGATTGTAAAAGCCACTTAGTAAACTGTCTAGTGTTTTGTAAACAAAGTAAGATCGTTATTATTATTTACAGGGGAAGGGTCTGGCTTGCAGAAGCTGCCAACTTGCTTGGCAATGCATTGGTTAGGATCTCTGAGCCAAGAAGTCTCCCAGGAGAATAAGCAATGTGTTTTCCAAGTGCCTGAAATCTGCATAGGCCCAAATGACCACCCTACCCCAGCCCCTGCCATTCACCATCAGACCCAGCACCTTCCCTGAAGCTGCCTTTATCCACTGATTTGCAACTGCAGCCAAGACTAACTTTGGACCCTCATGAGTGATCACAGCTGGTGAAGCAGATGAATTCTCTCACTCTGGAGCTCTTATGGAAGATGCTCATTGAGACGGGTGAGGGATTTAAAGTTTCCTTGATCTGACATTGAGCTGTTCTTGTGACTCATTGATTGGCAGCCAATCAGCAACTAAGGCAGTTAGGGTTGGGAGAGTGACTTAGAGTGTGAGGCATGGGGAGTGCCAGAATGAGGGAGACAGATAAAAAATGTGGTATGAATACAGAGAAGGGGAGCTCACTATGGGCTTGTGTGATGAGTGAAGGTTCTCTAAGAAGAGGTATCTGTCTCAGTACACCACCGATTTTTCCAACATCTAGGATGGCTTTGAAATGCTGCTGAGACAACATTTTATCCCCCAATCTTGAGGGAGGTGTAGATTTCAGTACAGAACAGAGAACATTGGATTTGGGATCAGAGGACCTGGTTTGAATTCCAGCTCTGTTGGCTTTAGGACAAAATCTTCCTTTCCCTGGGTCTGGGTTTTCTCGTTTGTAAAATGAGGAAATTGAAGTACATGATCTCTAAGTTCCCTTCCAGCCTTTAAACCTGTCTTAAGGCAAAATATCTAGGGGGAGCGGAGGGAGGACTCCTTGGTTTTCTGATCAGCACAGGCTGTAATTCAGAGCTGGAACTCATCCCTTTCTAGCCAAGAGATTGTCTCTCTCCTCTCTGCTTGCTGAAATCCTGCTCGTCCTTCAAGGTCCAGCTCCAGTAATAGCCCCCACCATGAAGTCATCCTGAACTGGGCCCAGACCTGGGCCCAGACCTGTGACCTCCCTCACTTCTCAACACCTGTAGCACTCGTCAAACAGAAATGTTGCTATGTAGGGACCAAGTAAACTAAGTTCCTTGGCAAGCAAGTAACACCCGATTCCAGTAACTGCAGCCTGGTGCTGATACTTTCTTTCCTGAGCCTGAATCCAGTGTCCTGGCAGTTGTATTCGACAAGCAGTTAGCTTTTATTATGTGAATGTTACTGTGCCAGGTGATGAGGATGCAAAGATGGAAAAGGCAACAGTCCTGGTTCTCAGAGAACTTACATTCTACTGGGGGATATAGCACGTACACAGATAAGTTAATATAGAATATTTGTGAAGAAAATACAAATTAACTTAGTTGGAGAAAACCACTCAACATCTGAGGGGGTGTGTCAGAAACACCTGGTGGTGGATGTAGTAACACTTGAGCTAAGCCTGGGAGGAAGTTAGGGACTAGGAGAAGCAGAAGAGAAAAGGGAGAACATTTCAGGCACGGGGGTGGGATGGGGTCAGAGTAGGGAAGAGACAGTTTAAACAAAGTATGGCTATGGGAAGTGGAATGGTAGGCACAGGGAATAGCAAGTAGTCCAGTTTGGCTGGGAGGTAGAGTTCATAAAAGCGAATAATATGAAATCAGTCTGGAAAGACAGGCTGGGGATAGATTATGCAGGGTTTAAAATGTCAAATGGAGGAGTTTATATTTTATGCTAGAGACAACAGGGAACATCTGAAACTTCTTGAGCAAGAAGGAAATGATATATTTAGACTTGTGCTTTAAAAAGATCTCTTTCACAATTTTCTAGAGTACGGATGGGGAAACTGCGGCCTCGAGGTCACATGTAAAAACGGAATCTGTTTTCAGTCAAAAGGCCGCACTCGAGGACCTATAGGGCCTACATGTGGCCTCAAAGCTGTAGGTTTCCCACCCATGCTCTAGGGGATGGGTTGGAAAGGGGAAAGACAGGAGATACTGACACCAATTAGGAGGCCACCGCAATAGTCCAGGTGAAAAGTGATAAAAGTTTGAACTATGGTGGCCATGTGGGCAGGGGGAAAAAAGAGGAATATGTGGAGGCAGAATGTACAATACTTGTAAGCTATGAGGAAGATGAAGGAGAGTGAGGAGGTCAGGGCTGACTGAGGTGGTTAAGTTGGGTGACTGTAGAATCATAGTGTTCTTGACAGAAAGAGGTTCATTTTGAATAGGGAATGTTTTAAGGGGGAAGAGGATGGGTTCTATTTCAGACACGTTGAGTTTGAGATACCAAGTTTGGGATGCCAAATTGGAAATGTCCAATAGGCAGTTGGTCATGTGAAATTGGAGCTCAGGAGAAGATGTGGGCTAGATACATAGATTTTGGAGCTGTCTGCATAGAGATGCTCACTGAATCCAGAGTAGTTGATGAGATCACTGAGACAGAGCATGAAGGTAAACCCACACACAGTGGGCAGCAGGAGAGGGATAATGATACAAGAAAAGAAACTGAAGAATAGTCAGACAGGTAGGAGAAGCAGGAGAGAACAAACCACCTGTCCTTCAGCCCTTCCCTTCATCTCCCTCCTGCTGGAACCTGGACTGTAACCCTAGGACCCTGTAATATGATAAAACTTCTGCCCTACCTTATCTAGAATGGGGTGTCCATGTTACTTCCTGGCTATTTCCAAACCATGATGCTGTGTGCTCCCCGAGCTTCCATTTATGTGTTATCTTCTCCATTAGAATGTAAGGTCCTTGAGGTCAGGGAGAAACTTGCCTGCTTATAATTGTACCCTCAGCAATTAGCACACTGCCTGATACATAGTAGGTATTTAATAAATGCTTTAGCATTCATTCATTCAGTGCCATGAAAGTTCAAGAACGAAAGAGTAATTAGGAGGAGGGGGTAGTCAACAGTGTCAAATATTGCAGAGAGATCAAGAAAGATAGGGACTGAGAAAAGGACATTGAATTTAGCAACTAAGAGATCACTGGTAATCTTGGAAACAGCAGTTTCAGTTGAGTGGTAATGCTGAGAGCTAGATTGAAAGGGGTTGGGAAGTGAGTGGGAGGTAAGACAATAGAGGATGTGAATGTAGAGGGATTTTTCTAGGAGTTTAACTATGAAAGAGAAGAAAGGTATGGGATAACAGCTTGAGGAGGTGGCAGGATCAAGTGAAGGTTTGTTTATTTATTTTTAAAGGTTGGAAGAGATCTGATTGAATGTTTCTAGGCATCCAGGAAACAGCCAGTGTATGAAGAAAGATCCAAAGTTAGGGCAGGGGAAGATTAATGGAGAAAGCTCCAGAAGAAGATCAGAGGGAATGGGATGAAGGTCATAAATAGAAAGGTTGAACTTGGCAAGAATGGCCACTTCTTCTGATACTGTGAAGAGTGAATGAGGAAAGATGCTGAGATGACTTAATGTAAAGAATTGGGGAGAAAAGGGAACTCACACTGGATAGCCGTGAGATCCTAAGGTAGGGCCCAAGTCATGTCTAATTTCCTAATGAAGCCAAGTACTTGGAGATGAGAGGATCAGTATAGACACAACTTCTCTCATTCTGCCATCTCCCAGCACTTGCCTCTCAGCATCAAGTGGCAATAGTGAAGATACAGGGAACTGTTTCCCACTTTGACATGTTTGTTCTATTAGTTAATCCACCCAGGAGCTATAGTCTGGGGTCAAACTGAAGAATCAGGTTTATATGTCAGAGAAACATCACCAGCATGAGCTTAGAGAGGTGAGGAACGTGG